TGGTTGGAGACCTGACAGCCAAGAGCTGTGCTGGTAAACTTGCATTTGGAGAGGGACCAACCCAGGACACAGCAGTACCAGAGAGGAGCACCCCCCAAACTGGCCTGTGCTGCCTCAAAGACCAATGCAGAGGCTGCCTTGGGATTTCATGAGTGATTTGAGTCCTCATGGTTGCAAGGAAATTCTGTTGCTAAGCTGCTCCAGCTGCAACCCTTAACAGTAATTGTTGTGTGCATCTCGTCTACCAGATTTATCAGCCTGGAAAATTAAGAGATGAGGAAAACAAGCAATGCTATGCTATGCTTCACTGGGTCTTCCCCTCAACATGGAGTGTCACTAGTGCCAGCCACAATGAATACAGGAAAGAAAATATGGACAGCTGCAACTAGACTGATTTGCACCCACTAAAAGTCTTACGTTGGATACTACAAAAGCAGTTTACTTGAACTCATCACAGCTGGAAATAGACCTGTCCTTCAGGAAGCAAAGCTACCACAAAGGAGTGGGGGGCTTTGCTGCCTCTCTATCCTTGGCAGACCCTTAGTGTTGCATGTTTTCAGACACTCCAGAATAACCAATTTCTTTCATATGGTGAAGCCTGGTACTAAGAGCTTCCTGCTCCCAGGTTAAATTTTTTGCCAGACTGCAACAACTTGGTTTGAATTAACCCTGATGGCTTTGCCTAAATTGTTTTTAATTTTTTTTCCCCAGAAAAATAGTTGGACTGCTTCCAAAGCAGAAGCTGTTGTTTGTGATTTTATGCTTACAAGATCCTTGCACAAGCAACTCCAAACACCATGCTCTGGAGCAATCACCCGGTATTTGTCTGACACAGCCTTTACATCTGAAGAGTAAAAACTCATGCAAAAGGTTACCCTAATTATGGGTAACTTGGGGCGTGGGAAAAAGAAATTGCAAAAACAAAATTCTCCTTTAACAGTTCACACAAGCTCCATAGAAGTTTCTAGCACAATTTCATATCCCCAAAACTTACCCATGTTTGGCATGTTCCTGCTTTTTCTGATTTTCTGGTGAGAAAACAAAGGAACCTGGGTGGGGGTGTCTGTATCCAACTGACAGCTAGGTAGGAAAGAAGGAAAGAGAGAGATTTTGCTTACCAGAAGATAACATGGTGCTACATACTCACACACAGTGCAGAAGTGGACCAGACATGTATAAAATGCCTTTTACACATACCCGTAAAGCCAGTTCTGTAATTATGACATGAAGAATTACCAGTGTTTAATTCTTCCTGGTTCCATGATTATTTCCAGCAACACAAGAGTTAAACAGGCAGCAACTAAGCTGAAAACAGAGACCAGTTGTTTGGATGCAAGACAATAAGATACAGAAGGAGATGTGGCTACACAGAGAGATCCTGTGATCTGGACTTGGAGAGAGCATCAGAGGGAAAACAAATAATAATGAATTGTAGCACTTGGGCTTTTCAAACTTGGTAGGATCATTAACTGATGAAATTAACTTGAAGACAAAGTCCAGGCAATGACAGTATAGGTAAAGAAATGAACAGGGAGACATCTAGCCTGGAAAAGGAGAAAGGAATTTGCTCTGGAAAGACTCTCTTGGCCACAAAGCCTCGACCTGCTCTGGTGCACGCCTTCAGACGCTACTGCTGGCAATCTGCTGAGAAGCTGAGCACAGCAGTAGGAAGCTACAGAGGCTCCTTTGCCAGCCACTGGCACAAGAAGGTTTCACATGCTGCTTTCAGGGTAAGCAAAAGGTCCTGAACAAGGAGCCTGAAGAGGCTTTGAACTGCTGTACTAGTACAGATAAATGGCCTGTTTGGTCTGCTGTCCTGGGAACATCTGTCCTGAGTGCATAACTCCGAGTTAAGGGAATTTGATAGTATTAATCCTGGATTAACTGCTATCTATTTTTTTCACCTACAGTCGCAGAAGGAAAGTTCTGACCTCGTTCTGCTGATGGAGTGGAAAAATCACCAGTGGGCTCCTGGAGAATGCTGGTGTCTCTTTCCCACAGTAAACCTCTCTTTTTCCTCCTCTCTCCCTGACCCCATGGTGACCTATCTGCTGGATTAACAGTACTTCAGTGGAGTGTAGTTAATAGGTTTGCACACCACATTGTCTAGAGAGGTATGTGCAAGCCAGAAAAAGAGAAGAACAGTGTTGATGGGCTGATAATATCCACAAAAACAGGAAGGAAGGATAGATTAATCTGTAAAAATGCAATATGTCTGGAGCTGAACTCAGTAAAAATTTCTATTTTGGTTTACTTTCTCATCTTCTATGGTTTCACAGGTAAAAGTCTGCTTTTTTTTCAGAAACAGCCACAAAAATATTTTAATTCAATGACCATTTGTCCGTGACTATTAAAAGAAGGTGGAGTGATGGAGAACAATCTGGTAGGAACTATGTATTTATATGGAACATAATAGAGAGAACTGCATAAGAACTGATTGGCTGGCTCAATAACTGGCCAGGAAAAATAGAAAGAGGGAGTGGGGAATCTATTTCAGATTGGCCTAAAGTTATTTTCAGCTATTCCCACCAAAATGGAAAGAAAAAAATCTGAAAAACTTGAGAATTTCAGTCCAGAATAGAACCCTGGAGCTGACTTCCAAACTGCAGCTGCTGAGCAGAACTGCAGCATTGCCAGTTCTTTGGCTTCTTGCCTAATGGTCACAAGAAATAATTAATATCAAAACCCATTGCTAATACAAGTCATATTTTAAACATTTGATCAGCAATTAAGCTTTGACTTCTCAAGAACTGACAAGTAATTCACAGTCTGTCCCAATAAACTTGGTGTCATTGAAAACATTCTAAGCTAACAGTACCAACAATGTTACCAGCATAGTTTCTGTCATGCTAAGAGTGATATTAAAAAGAAACCCATACATAATTTGGAACAAGGCACATATGTAAGTGATTTAGACACACAATTGTTTGGGGGAGGTTTGTTTTGTTTTGTGATGTCTTTAATTAGGAAGCCACAGGAGATCAATGCAAGTATCAAAATCATCATAACGAAATATTTAACCTCCTATCTGGCTCAAGCAACAGTCATGAGAACCAGATGCTGCCACATCCAATCCCTGTGAAGAAACCAAATGGTAAACAGATACTACATTGCTTATCAGGCTGCAGCTTTCTCCTCTGAAACCAAATACCCATTGAGACAAGGCAGAATGAACTGGCTGTTATGATCATTTATATAAAATAACTGAATATTAAAATGAGATATGATTGTGCTTTACTATTTGAAGACACTTGTCCCTTTACTGAGCTTTTCACTTGAAGATCAAAACCTTATTAGAAGCATTAGTAAATGAGGTCTCAGAGCACTCCAACATGAAAGACATCTTAAAACCTTTCACTTCTCAAGTCAGGAAGCTCAAAGCAGACAGACTAGCTCTAAAATTAATTTGTTTCAACTTATATGGCACATGGGTTACTTCTAAGGGCTCCAACAAAAGATCAGTGCATTGTGTGGTTTTGAATTATTTTGATGCAATTCATCTCTTCCAAGGTCTTAAAAATAACAACACTGTGTGCAGTTTGGAGCTGGAAAATGAAAGTATCTGCCATTAACATAGACACATTCTTCCTGGAGTTTTACATGCCCCTCCCAAGTCCTGTCAAGGGCTGAGCCTGGGACAAGGGAATGCTGATATCCTGCATATTCCCTCCCATACCTATTTCTTAGTCCCCTCATATTCACCTGCCTTGTACTGCAAACAATTGACCAAACTGGTCTACAAATATTAGGCTGGAGGACTGGAAATGGCCATGCAACAAAGTGACAGTTTGCTTTTGTACCTGCTACTATAAAATCAAAAATACAAGTAGAGTCTTAAGGAAATAAGTACTTTTAGTAATGTGAATTACTGAATGAAGTTGCATTTATACAAAATAATGCTTCTAATCACTTCTCACTACAAAATATTTTCAATATTAATTCTGAAGTGTGACCTGCCTTTTAAAGGAGGTGCTGTGCACCACGAGCAGTGGACAGCACACATGCACACACAACTCTTTGTACCCATATATGTCTTGAAGCACACTCATGCTTTCATGGAAAGGCATGGTGGTGAGACAGGAGCAATCTGATGACCGTGTGTGAATTAACACCACAGCAACAGAGTGACAGCTTCACACCTGCACACAGACAGCAGTCCAGTGCAAACTACATCACCTGTCAGTCTGCAGTCACAGCCTGGCTCTCACAAGGGAATACAGAGGAAAAATTGTGGTTGTACACTGGCACCAAGAGGCATTTTTGTTTTGGTAACAAAACCTGGGTTTAGTGCTCCTCATTACATCAAGCCTGTGGGGCAACACTGCAGAGGAGCTGTGAGCCCAGGCTCAGCTCTAAGAGCCTGAGTGTTACTCACAAAACCCAGACAAACAAAATTAGAAATAGCAATTAAACAGAGCAACAACTCACACACAGGACTTAAATCACATCAAAAGACAAATCAGGGAAGATCCAGGATATTCTGCTTGAAAGCATCTCTGAGACTGCTTGGCAAATGTGTACTCTTGCTCTCTCTTCTGAGCAGAGAGCACAATCCTGGAGGAATGGCAAGTTCAGTGTTCCTGTACAGACACCGCTACCATCACTGTATTTACAGCACACACAGACTCCCAGGGCACATCACCCCCTGCCCAGTACCAAGGAGAATACAATAGCCTTTCTCAGCCAGGATGCACACAGCACTGGCTTGGTCCTGCTTAACGCTGCTCTTGAGCATCATTAACTTCAGAGAAGACTGGAGGCACACTGTTGGGTCGTTTCAGTCTGAACATGCAGGTCTTTAAAAGCCTTTGTCCACATTCTAAGCTTTTCCTTATTGTAGGACTCACACCTTTAGGAGCCTCTTGTTCTGTGGGGCAGCACCTGGATGTCTTCTACTGTCTTTACCTTCTCTCTACCTTTGGCTTTCCCCATTTTTTCAGTAAAGCCCAGTGCTAATCTTCCTTTGTTCTAATGTGACCAAGAGCTGGCTCTTCTCTTACCTTGGTCGTTGTGCAGCAGATTCTTCATGAGGAAAAGCAGAGAAGTGAGTGGAGTGCTGCAGGTGGGTGCTAAAAGGGCACCAGGTACCCTGCTGGCCTCCTGTTCAATGCAATGTCTTCCTCAGCGTGTCATTGCTCAGATTTCATTTCCACCATGCTTCCCTCAGCCACTCTCTTTCTCTCCACAGTGAGGGTGGAGACCTCCTGTAGGAACAGGAGGGCTTTGCCCCAGGGTCCTGGGGAGGCAAAAGAAAACAAGAGACAGAAAATAACAAAAGGATGTTCAGAAATCTGCTAAATGCCAAGGAAACAAACAAGTACATTGCCATGGCCTGAAGCCCACAAAACAGGGCTTTCAGTAACCAGAAGCACTGGGAATGTAGACAGGCTGCTTTTTTATTAAAAAAAAAAAAAAAAAAAAAAAAAAAAAAAAAATGTACACAGGCTGCTTTTTTTAAAAAAAAAAAAAAAAAAAGAAACAAACAAAGAAAAAACTTTTGTGAACATTGATACTTAGCTCTATTTTTTTATTTTTAGGTCTTTATGTCTGAGCTGATTTGTTCACTCTAAATTCAGCTGTTGGCCAGTCAAGCAAAAGCAGGAGACAAAACCATGCTCCTCTGAAAAAAGAGAAACTACACTCCCAGTTTGTCCAATGAAACAGAGGCAGTGGGATTCAGTGCAGAAGTATACTTCTAATACTCAGTACCAAATCAGTGCTCAAACGTCTTCAGTTAAACTATTTTCAATTATTATTTTTTTAAAGGGGTGGAGAGTACAATTTTTTCGTTTCCAGGATCCACTTATGTTCAGAGCAAAAAGTTCAATAAAGGATAATGTTAAAATTCTTTCTTATTCCACAGTCTCATCTAGAGTAAAAAATACTTTTCTCATGCACATCTCTCTGTCTGTTCTCCACCTGGCACTACACAAGATTTAAAAACTCTGTCCAAGTTCATTGTACATGTTGTGTGACAGGTGTTTGCAGAGAAAGCCAAAATGACCTCATATGTGCCAGTCCTTCCAAAAAGCACTTACACCACGTCAGCTTCAGGTGATGTTGAGTTTTATATTTTGCCAAGGCACAGATGGACAGAGCACACCTGCAGTCTTTAATGAGTATGCTTCTTGAATATCTTAGGACAGCTTTGGTTCACCCCTGTCTGGTGCTTATGTCTAGGACAACCTCAAGATCTTAAGCAAATGCCTATTAAACCATCTCTTCAGGTAGCAGTTGATGAGTGCCAATCCACATTAAATTGTGGGATATTATATCACGAATATTTACCTATTAACTCCAGGCTTGTGTTATATTATATTGCAGTAGTCCTTAAAGTCATGCCGCATGACCTACCTGAAATTGCCAAGGTGAAATTTGAATTGAGACTCCCAGTCAATTAATTTTCCACATTTTTACATTAGTGGCAAGTTTGAAAAGGTCAAGGTAAGGTAAGATTTTATGAAATAACTATTTAAAATAGTCTTTGGGTTACTGTGTTTCATTTCTGTAAGATGACTAGGCCCAAAACTGGACTTCAAATCAACATTTTTATCTGATCATCTTCCATCTGTTGCCATGTATTATATACATACTTGCACACACTTCATTTCAACACAAAATCCTCCATCTTTGGGAGACCATTTGTCTTTTATTGGTGTTCCAATCCAAATCAATGTCCCAGGAAGACATCCAACTCGCATTCTCTGTGTCCCCATTTCTGCTCCTGACAGAAGTTATATAACATCAAGTCTTCAAATGCTCAGCATTTGCACTGAGTGCATTTGAATGGATACTGTGATATACAGTTCCCTGCACAGCATATCACATTGATTTTGTCAGCAGTTACTTCTGAAGCCAGGCAAAGAGCTGACTGCAGCATCTAAGCTCCATTTCGTAGAAACTTGATGTCCCTTTTCATTCTTACATTTGAATGACTTCTACCTCTGGAGCAGCCTGGTACATCTTTGGGCATCCCCAGTCCAAGACTTTCAGTCCTGTACTAAAATGAGGCAGCCTGCTTTTCTCTTCAGGACCCGCCACCACAATGTGGAATAGAATTACTTTCTTTGATGATTTTCTTGTATGACGTTCCCAGTCAGTAAGATGTAAAACAACAGAAACAAGCCAACAAAAGTATAACTACATTCATCTTTAGCCAAATAACCTCTAGACTCATAACACAAGTCAATGATCACCTGGTACAGCAAAAAGGAAGTCAATAAATGAGGGCCATTAAGAGGATCAATAACAGCATATAGGGAAGAGAATGGTGTTAGTCATCACTTTGATGTTGAAATGTTCTTATATTTTTGTCTAAAGCTTCTAAGAAACACCTATTTTGCTGGTACTGAAGACCATGCAGAAGCCATCTGCATTATGAAAGACTTTACAAAGAGAAGCCTGAAATAACTCTCTTCTCATCACCTTTCATTCACCAGAAAACCATAGGAGAGAAGAATTTGTGTTTCATCACATCCATCAGCTGTATATTGCTGTAGTCAGGGAAGCTTTCCCTTGCCTCTAGTCTGTCAGTGTGTTCCATTTATCCCACATGAGGTCACTTGAGCTCATTTCTTTCATCTCCTTTCCTTACTTGATTAAACTAAAGCAAAGTGACAGGTACAGAGATAGTAAACAGCATGACTGAGCTGGATCTCCAAAGGACTCAGACATTCTGACAGTGCTCTTTTAATTTAGTCAGCTTCTTTGAAGATGCAGCCACCTGAGAATAAGCCCTTGATTTCACCATGTGTGTTCTTGGAGGTGGCACAGCCTTTGTTTCTATTAGCCCTGAGCAGGAACCCACACACAGTGATGCTGCAGGAAATTATATTTGTGACTCACAGGTTTTCCACAGCATCCACAAGACTTCACAGTTTGGTGATCCCAGATAGGCATGACACTAGGCTTGGAAAAGGGATTTGGTTTTCAGACCAGGGACAACACTCTCTGGCAAGGACTTGGGGGCTCAGAGGTGAGGTGCAACACTAGGTGGGTAATGGGGAGTCCATGTCTCATTAGGAATTAAGGGGTTCTCCCACAGCAGGACGTGTAAGGTTCAGGGGTTGGATTTAAAATCCTTGCCACTCTTCATACTTTCAATATAAAAAGCTTTCAGAAGAGTTTTTGGCCAAGTTTCAAAAAAAAAAAATCCTATAATGGTACCGGCCACTTGAAGTAAGGAAGAAGCATCATCACTGTGGTTACACAGCTCCCTAAATTCCTGCAGACTGTGGCCAGGAGGAACTGCATAGGTCCTTATTTATCCCTAAGACTTAGGTCCTCACCTGCAATTAGAGGCCATTTTTAGAAATTTCCTATACAAAGGCAAAGGTAGAATTAAAAAAAAAACAAAACAAAACAAACAAAAAAAAAAAACAAACCACCATCCCACTTACCTGTGCAGTTTAGAGCTTCCATAAGCCTGTTTGCCCCGCACCATGGAGGTAAGCCACAGGTGAATTTGGGATGCCTTTGGAGACTTGATGAGGTGGAAAAATGGAGAAGAAGTGCCATTTCTCAAGTAGATTCCAGCAAGACCAAATACTTTGTTGCTGTAAATTGAGGTTGAGCAATTGATTTCAGGCAGTAGCCAACAGGCAGAGGGTAAAAGTTGCCACTGGTGTCCAGTTCAGGACCTACCTGCTGTTATCCCTGAGGCCTGTACTGAGCTGGAAACAGGAATGCAAGATAGGCTATGAGGGAGAAAAATATGACACACAATCCTTTGCTTGTGAAAAATATGACACACACATGCTTGTGCTGACTTCAGGGTCGCTTAATGAAGCCTTGGCTGGGTAGGTCTCTAACTCCAGCAATAGCTTTCCTTCAGTATGAGGTACAAGGCAGAGCCCATTCCACACAGGCTCTTGCATATCTGTAAAATGGTTTTAAGTTGAACAGGCCCCCAACAGACATTAAAAAGCACAGGATAATTAAAGTGCATATGATGCTCTACAGCCCTCCACTTTACAGTCCTACACTGCCCATCCTGCCAGCCATAAACTTAGTTCCCAGCTCTTGCTTATGAGTCTCAGACCCCTATTTTTCAGCATACTGCTCACATTAATTTTACAAGATCTCTGCATAGGTCTGAAAGGTGGCCTATGTTGAATCACATTAATAGGGCAAAGAGCACATGCAGCTCAATTTGTTTTTAAAGCTCAGAAGTGTGTTTCTGTGTCTGTTTGCCCTCTTCATTTCTTAATATGCTGCAATTAAATTAATGAGTGAGACTTCCAGATCCCCAGCTCTGCAATTTTAACTGCAGGACTTGGCTAACTTCATCAGCTTGCTCTATTGTCTGGTCACGAAGGTCTGCTAATCTGCCCATGAATCCAATCTGAAACCTTGACACTTCGCTCCTTACCACTTTCACTTATATGATCTATAAAATCACAAATGGAAATGAAAAAGAAAATAATAAAAAAGCAGCTGTTTTGAGACCTTTGAAGTAGCTGAAATGTATCTTACAAGCAGCAAATGCTTTTTGCAGGAAAACCTAGAAACTTGAACAGACATTTGGCAGTCTTCTGTCAACTAGCCAGGCACTGGCGAAGCATGTACAAAGAATATCTGAGCTGAATTTCATTTACTAGTAAACTTTGTTTTTACTAAGGAGGAAAAAGGGAACCTGAGAAAGAGTTAAGAATTTCCTCTTGTCTCATTACTGGTGACCTTCCATTAGTCACTGAAAATGAAACGGCTTGTAATGGGATCTTGTGGTTTCCATGGCTCTAGAAAAGCCATTTTTATGAGGTTGATGCTTGATGGCTCTGATGAGTCACACCTCATGAAAAAAAAGGCAGATTTGAGAGCAGCCAGTTCCAGCATTTGGGGGGATATGAACGGTCCCAGAGGCCTGTCTCAGGGAGGAGCACTGTCAAAGGCTGGGGAACAGGTCCACCCTGGTCTCAGGGTGAGCCCAGCACTGCTGGGGATGCTGCCAATACATGCTCACTCAGCATTGGGGAGCACAAGTAGAGCCATATTCACAGAAATGTTGAGGAGGAACAGAGGCAGCTTCTCAGCACACACCTGGATTTTTTGCAAACAGCTGTATGAGAGAGCACAGCATCCATCATAAAATTATCCGTTTCTCTCTTGCTATTGTTTACTATAACACCCACAGCAAATTATAGACTATAGAATCACTTAAGGTAGAAAAGACATCTA